TTCCGGAAAGTTTGAGCGTGGCCCGTGCGATACAAACAAGGAAACCCCGTTCGGTACAAACGGAGAATTCCCCGTGCACTGGTCAACGTAAACCTAGCGGGCGAGGATCGGCTTTCGTGTCCGGCATAAATTTCCTTATGGCCCACATGGCGACATAGAACTATTTTCACGGCCAATGCAAGGCATGCGGCGTGTGAGATTCTGAAACACGTGGTATCTGGATGTCTGGGAGAAGCAGGGCTGCCATTGGTCGAATTAGGTGTCAAGCTTGTTGCTGGGCAGGGCCAAAAATAGTTTATACTAAACAAACTTCAGATTTTAGTAGCCGAGTCCTAAGGCTCAATGAGAAGCGAAATCTTCAAATAGGAAACGAAGCTACCTTCTTGCCAAAATAAGGAAGCCACTTCTTAACATATTTACAGGTAAAGAAGTAAGGTTATAAGCGTTTTTTCCTCCTTTTCGGTTCCTGCGATAATGACACGAGGCTAATCACCGCTGTTTCCCTACAGTTGCCCAGGCCGGCGGGCGTGGAGATACGTAGCCCCTTTGCCTTCTCTCAACCAGGGATACAGACATAAAAAAGGTGAGTTCATGCGTACTTTTATCCATAATTCTACAGGGTGTGGATGTTTGGTAACGTCGGCCAGTTTTGGCTAAGTTAATTTATGAAGCGCGACTGCTACTTATGCAGTTAACAGCTAATGTGTTATGTCAAGTGTACTTTTGACGCACATTCTATATCAGCCTTGTCTTCAATTGTTTTCTACGTTTCGATGACTTGTTTAGGAAATGTACACCTTGTTTTGAAGACTCATTTCAAACCGCTACCATTTGCTGTGACGTTCGCACCACGATATGTTTTGGCCGAGATCTTTATGAGGCGCGGTGTGAGGCATATTACTGTTGACTAACTTGCTGTGGATAGAGGGTAGCCATTAAATCTTGAGTTTTGTCAGGTATCATATACAATAATGGTAGGAGTATATTTCATGTATAGATACCTTCAATGTGTGAAGTCCTGTCTGTTGTTTTGTCCTGACACTAGCAACCAGGTTCACATCTTATCAGACCAATGACAGCCTTTCTTCTCTCCATACAGTTGCAGTACCATGTGCCTTAGCTAGTGCGCAAGCTAAAGCCGGGACAATCACATATGCCAGAAGCCGTGGTCACAGCTGACTCAAGCCTCCCGGTCACAGAGCTGATCATGACAACTGACTCCAGTCTATCTCCTTTGTGTAAAATTTTGTTTCGATATTGTTGATGATGGTAGAAGGAGCATGTTGATATCATATGTGTATTAAGTAGTAGCATCGTCGACAGAAAGAAGGCAACATGTGAGGGAACCAGATCAGTAGCAGAGCCATCACGTGCAGGCTATGTAATGCATTGCTAGCCACAGTAAACCTTACACCAGTTAGAGATTACTGGGATGACTTACATACGTCTGTACTACGATGATACATTGCCTGTGTTTTACGGTATCTTAGTGTATATATTGTAATGACCTATTTTATATGTATTTAGAAAACCTCGCCAATGACGGTTCAAATCGAATCGAGGAGAATGTACACATTTTGAAAACCATGAATATGCTGAACAATCGGTGTATATGGGAGCTGTGGTACGATTGCACTCTCTAACTAACTTGTAAGAGGATAATAGTGCAAGACCTGATGAAACTCCGAACAGTTCCCTTGTAATTACTTATACAGTTCTCTGTTATTGTAGTCCCTGTTATTGGTCCGGTTACAAATATGTGTGCTGAAGTGATGTACCACTGTTATGCGGTAATACATAATATAAAGACACAGGATTTCTACGACAAGGGACGTCAGTTCAAGAAGGAAAATATAACTCAGTTAAGACTGAAAGGGTTAACGTATCCAGTATCATATAGTCATAGCCAGTCCGTCTTAAAAGTCTCCCGTGCCCAGTGTGCGGAAAGCCTTGTCTCTGCGTCTTTCTTTTATCCTCACAAAGTTGCATTGAAAAGAACTTGCATTCATCTGTTGATTTGATTATATGGATGACATCCTCTGGGAACCCAAAAACTGATGCGCGCGTGCGAATAAAAAAAAAGTTTTGCAAAAAGAAAAGTTGCTTTCACTATGAAATCTACGTGGTCATGAAGGTTGAACAAATGGCGAATAATCTACTCTTCGAATTCATTTCTTTACATTTTTTCCTTTGATTTTGGCATTCTATAGCTACGACATTGGTATCGTTTCTAAATGTTTTCCTTGCAACTTATGGTAAATTTTTGCTCATTTAACAACTGTTTTGCACGATTTACAGTATGGTTGAAAACGTTTTTTTTTGGAAACGGCCGAAAATTCATGCGCGCGCGGATGTCATCCATATAATCAAATCAACATGGCCTTGTGTCCAAACACATACTTTTCATAAAGAGAAGGAAAACTACCAGAAAAAAACAACAACTAAACGCGGTGACATATTGGTTTATATTCAGACAATCACGACATCTCCTTTGAAACATCTGACTTCAAATGCCGACCTTGTTCAATTCCAAACAATGTTCCTGTCCAAGCTGTCGGAAAAGCTCCAAAGTCATTGAAAAACAGCTAAGCAGCTGAGAGGGAAGACCTCACCCGCAAGGTGTTGCCAAAAATGAATTCCCTGGGAGGGAAGACCTCACCCGCAAGGTGTTGCCAAAAATGAATTCCCTAGGGAATGCGTGCGTGGAATATTTAGAATTCCTGGCAATTCAATCGCAGTACTATACTAAGGGCTCCGCCCCTGAGGCGTCGCCAAAAAATGAGTGATGAAGTTTTTTGAAAATTGAAATTATTACAGATGGTATTTTCTTGCATGTAGAGTTTAATTCATTGTTGTTTACTTCCTCAGTTCTTGATCAACAAGGAGGGCCAACCTGTGAAGCGATATGGGCCTAATGTGAAACCTTTGGTGAGATGAACTGTATTATATAAAACCTTCACTGGTCACACAAATATCAAATTTTATTATTGCACGACAATTGCACATGGCACAATGTACAAAAATGTATAGAATAAGACCTAATGAATATTAATTACTCAAACAACAAGGGCTAGCCTTTGCTCTTCAGTAAAATCATGATACAGGGATGGTTCCCTCAGAGTAGATTTTTTATAGTACATGTATTAACTTACCTCTCTGCCAAGCACTGGCCAAACAAGGCTTGATTAATCTAATCTCTGATGTTTTTCCTCTCTTACAGGAGATTGAGAAGGATTTCGAGCCCTACTGGTAGACGTCGTGTTTTGATGAACCGTTGTCATGGCAACAGAGACGTTGCGCAGAGTCTGGTGGTCAGTTTGATGAAGGCGACCCTCAGAAACCCGCCCGCGGGGGAGTGTTGCTGGATGGAGCGTACTGAGAACCACACTCTGCACAATGTTTACCGTTGCCTTGGCAACGCGTTCATGTAAACATGACCTCGCTCATCAAGCTTTAAGCTATGTTTTACAACCATTTCATGTAGTTAAAGTGAAAAGTTGGCGTAACAAGTTATGATGTTTTAGAATTTACATGAATCGTCATCAGAGGTGACAAGTTTCAAAAGATAAGTTATGATGTTGAAGACTTCAGTGAAAGTTGTTGACTACCGGTAGTTAGAAAAGGACCATTGTTGAGTTTATAGTTTGTCACAGTCTTGCCACATTTATGAGAAGTTTAGACAAATCTACATTGTTAATTTCTGATCCAATTGATCATCCAGCATATCTGAGATATTTGTCCATTTAAATTTTGATTGTTTCTTTGACATGCTAAAATAACCAAATTTTCAAGAAATCGCAACCAATCAATCAAAAGCAGTATTTTTTTAGTTTGGGAGTTTGTTCTGTCTCTTAGGTTCAACATATATTTCTTATGTTTACATTTCTTGCAACAAATGGAAATAGATTATCCAGGGTGGCATCATAAATGGTGCTTTTGTTGTTTTCATCTGTAGAAAACCACAATATGGTCAAATTTGTTATTACATCACTTTAAGGTTTAAGTGACCTTTACTTGGTATATTATTTGTTATGCTTTTTGTGTTTTTTTATTAATTTCGTGATGATAATTTTTCCTGATAGTCATCCGTCCCAAGAAGAATTAATATCCAATATGTAATTCTAAATCTAAAGACAGTGAATAATGTGTCAGAATGATGATTACCATTAATTCAACAAACATATGAAGAAAGGTATCCAGAGATGCCAAAGTCAGTGTAACACTGCATTTACTATTCCCCTCATTCACACAGTGTGCAGTTAGCAATAAGAACCTGTACTCCACTGTACTGCATCTTTGTGTGTTATTTGATAATTGGTGCTGTAAGATTGATGTTATACTACTCTACCATTGTTCATGATGATGTCAGATTTAGAATAGATTAACAGCTTTATTCCACATATTATTAAGAACTTCACTATGATACAAGCATTACCATTGCAAGTTTTCACATATGACATTCTGGACTAATGTTAACATATAGTCTCTGTGCTATATTGTTGCACAGTAAAAGATTACCCTTTTAAGATGTAAGATCCAGAATATGAAATGATGAAAGACAAAAGAATTGATGTATCTTGATAAAGGCTGTTGAACACATCTAATTATTTTCTCTACCCTTCATAAGGTATCTTGAAGTTACCCCCTTTTCTTCTTCTAATTCATGCTATTGCTCACACCATCTCTCTAATACTTAAATAGATGTTCTTAACCGCCACAGTGGTTTGATTCTTAGAGATGTGTATGTATCGCAAAAGGCCAAATTTAAATGCTGCTATATGCTGTATGCAGTGTCTTCAATGTTAAATGTTTCAATGATCTTAGAAACCAGGTAAGACAATAAAAATTGCTAGCTGGTACTTTTTGCTATCATTCTTTGTACTTTGATTAAGTGTCATTTTCTTCCACCGTAGAACATGTAGGTTTTTATCAATGATTGTTATGATGTCAACAGATTAGCTCAAAGATATTGCAACATGAATTTTTCAATGTGCTGTAGTGGCACTGCATACATATTTGCTTGAGGGTGGGTGGGTTTCCTTATTCTTAAGATTGCTTTGTCTAAATACAGTGAAAGGTTACATCTAGAAACATATTTTGACATGTGAATCGTGAGTACTGTGACGTAGGCAACAGCGGCACCATGAAGGAGCGCATGTCTTCTCTCGACTGGCTTTTACTTTTGATGACCCCAATTTGCATACTAGTAATCTCCAAGCAGATATACATGCCTTTGTTTTGTATCCGTGTGTGTTTTCCCATGTTCCATACGTTTTTTTTTAAATCTGGTCGTGTAAGAAGTAGCCTTTTGTACATTCTCTTTGACTACACGTAGCACCACTAATCAGATTTATATCTACATCTAAACGATACTGGACACCGTCCTTTGCGTCCAGTGAAAAGAGATCATTGCCCTCGAGTGACCAGTGGTGGTGGTGCGAAATTTAAGAAGAAAGTGGTATCGGACGAGAGACAATACAATGAGAATAGGGTGCAGAACAAGCAAATAACGAAAGAAAGTTGTGCTGTGGTGTATCGAGATGAGTTGAACATCAAAATCACATCTGCTTGGAGATAAGTATTTTGACCCCAGGGATGTTCATCCAATGGTTACCGTCCCAACTGACACTACCGGTTAACATGACAAAGGACCCCGCATGACGTCACACATGACCTGACACACCTGTAAGCTCATCAGATCCGCGGGTGTCGTCCATTTTGTGTTGACGTGTTAGCTAGGTATCTCGCAGGGACAGTCAATTTAAAAATCATGGAGAAGATCATTAATATAACGCCACAGTTGGAGTCGATCTGGGAGAGGCGTTTTAAGACGAAGACCCCGCACAAGTGCGCCCTGGTGCTGGCCCGGGGAGGGAGTAAGGGCATCCCGATGAAGAACATCAAAATGCTCGGTGGAACGCCGCTCATCGGCTGGGTGGTGCGGGCCGCCGTCTACGCAGAGGTCTTCGACAGGTAAGCTTTAGCTTTGCAAAAGTAACAGCATAGAAACACACGCCAAAAAGCAGATACTCAAGCAACTGGATATGATTTGTGTCACTGATAAAAGGTACTGGATGCTCTCTGAAACGTCTGACCGTTTCCAAAATCATATCCAGTTGCTTCAGTAACTGCTTTTTGGCCTATCTTATTACCTGGGTTATGGATGTCTAACCTTCATCGAAGTATAGAATCATATTCAAGCATTTGATTTCGTTCCCTTTGACTTGAAATACAAGAATTGCATTTTGTCTAGTTAACCTGAACGATATGTCGTTATATTTTGTACGGACCCAACCCGAATGGACATAAAGCATTGAAGTTAGATGACCTTATCTTGTCAACCAGGTCACAGACATTACAATTTATGTAAATTATGCCCTTATGTTAATATCATTGTAGGTGGACAATGTGTCACACTGTTGTGTGTCACACTTTTGTCCGCTTGAAGGATTTATCTGTAATCTCTATAAGGATGAGATTGATAAACAAAGGTGGAGCTTCTTCCCAGGACACACCCTCCTCATGCATTTATCAGCATAAAACCCGGAGAGTTTTATAAAAATTTGTGAATAACTATGTGTGGTTCACATGCCGAAATTGAATGAAAACAAGTTGGAAAATCTTGAAATGATTCCGTTTAAGATATTCTGTCAAGAACACGGACTTTTGAAACATTTTTGTTTTGATCAAGGACTTTTTCACACATGAGTTGAACGTTGATGAATAGGGACGCATTTTGTGGCTTACTATTTTATGCTGGAGCTCCCATACTAGCTCCCTATATTTCTAAGGGAGCGAGTATGGGAGCCCCGGCATACAAGTAGGATGGTACCTATGCAGGCTAACGAATCCCTACCCGCCTTTAGCATATGGGTGTCCACCGACAACGAGAGGATCGCCAACGTCGCGAGGGATTATGGGGCGCAGGTACACTACCGGAGTGAAGAGGTGTCTACTGACACCACCAGCTCCTGGGAGACAGTCGGGGAGTTTCTACAGCAGCACCCAGGTACGACAGGAAAAGTTGTTTGTATTTTTTGTTTTGTTAGTTTTGGTGAGAATGCTTTCCTTCTTGTCACCAAGGCGAATGGCACCAGGGGTCTATTTTCTGACCTCGCTTGAGACGGTATAATTCATCCCCTTTGTCTGATTATTTTCTAAACTCTTAGTTGTATTTCGATGTCAACAGCAGCGCCAAAATAGCATTGTAAACGTACGAATGTGTCCAATCAAGTACACTGTATATAATGTCATTGGTCAAATGTTTAACTTTTTGTAAACGATAGATCAATGTATACGATGGTGAAAACTTAAATTTATATGCTTAGTTGCGTCTCCCTCTTGTCTACTATTGACACTACATGTATTCATTACCTCCATGAAATGTGTCATGGAGGTTATATTTTCAGTTGCGTTTATCTGTCCGTCTGTCCGTCTGTCTGTCCGTCTGTCCGTCTGTTGGTCAACAAGATAACTCAAGAACGCCTGGATGGATTGGTTTCATACTTGGTGTGTTGGTAGGGTGTGACAAAAACTGGAAATGATTAGATTTTGGGCCCCCTAGTGGCTTCCCTTGGTACTGCAGCGCAACTTCCGGTTTTGATATCTCGCGATCTGGACATGCTAGGGTCATGAAATTTGGATGGAAGGTAGCTCTTGTCCTCGGGAAGAAGTCACGTGAGTTTGGTCCCCCTAGCGCTGTCTGGAACTGCAGGGTGTTTCTTTGAAAATCTTCGAGAGAGGATAACTGAACAACCGTTTGATGGATCATCATGATTTTTGGTATGTAGGTAGCTTAAGTAATGCTTGACATAATCAAAAGATAATTATGCAAATCAGGATCTAATTTGCATAATTAATGAGGAAATTCTATAAATCAGCTGTATTTCATATTAGGGCTATAAAACTATATAGACATATATCAGTGAGAACGACAAGATCATTGGCAGATATCGATTATGTAAAGGAAGACCTAATTTGCATAATAAATGGCAAATTGGTACAATTTTATGGTGGTAACTGCTGGGAATTTAATACTTGCCATAATTGGAAGTTCAGTGAAGGTGAACATCACTAAACATAATTTATGTCAATCAGGACCTCATTTGCATAATTTATGAGGAAACGCTAGAATAGCCTTATTTCTTAAGATAACCCTGTCATTTGGTGGAGAGTATGATCAATTGATACAATATATGCAAATGGCCTCATATGATTTGAATATATGCGGTGAAAAATGTAAGCCAATTACAGGTGGTCATCACCATGCGTAAGATTTATGAAAACAATACACATGTCATGGAGGTATGAGATCATCGAACTCTAGTTGTATATGTTATTATAGTTTACCTTCATAATCTGTTGCCCATGTAGGCAAGAACATGCAATAAAGGTTATTTATTTCAAATTTTGTTTATTTCTGCAGAGGTTGACATCGTCGCCAACATCCAGGCGACCTCCCCCTGTGTCCACCCCTTCCACATACAGGAGGGAATGCGCATGCTCCTGGAGGACAGCTTTGACTCCGTCTTCACCATCTCTAAGAAACACGGCTTCATCTGGAAGGAGCCTCCACAGAAGGGTGAGTAACTAGTAGCCTCTACCAGGCTTCGGGAGGCGGCTGGAAAGAGTAGAAAATGGCCAAATAGAGAGATAACCTGCCGGGGGAGGTGGTCCCCTAGAGAGTACATTTTGCTGCACCCGACATCTATAGCGGGCCACCTCCCCTGGCATGCCACTATCTCTCTATTTGACCAGTTTCTACTCTTCCAGCCGCCTCCCGAAGCCTGGTAGAGATTACGTAACTAGGTCGTCCTTCATGTGGCATTAGGTCGAGAAAAGGGTCTTAAAATTTGACCTCGACAGAAACAAGGGCAACCAAAAGTCTTTGATAGAGTTGACCCTTTACATGGACATGTCCTTCGGCAAGACTTCCGAACGTGTCACGTCCATTTTAAAACGTTGATACCAGACTTTAGATTATCGGCTAAATTCAACCGAGTTATCCAAGCTAATATATTCATCCGGTTATCTGAACTCTGGTATGAACGTGGTCTTCATAAAAGTTTAGGTTCATGCACCTAAGAATGTGGTTTTAGCAAGGTCTAAGATAGTCTAAGATAAAAACGCTGTATCCAACTAGATGATGAAATGCAAGTCCTACAAAAAGATAGTTTAGATATTATCTAAACTGCCTTTTTATCATATGGTACTTATGCATTAACTTCATCCACATGACCTTCAGATATGCAGCCGATCAACATTAACCTTGACCTGATGAACCGCCCCCGTCGCCAAGACTACGACCCTGAACCTGTGGAGAACGGAGCGTTCTACATGTACACCCGAGAAATACACGCACAGGGGAAAACTCAGGTAAACGGGACTCTTCGGCATATTTTTGTAGTGTAGCTATTCTAGCTGTGGATAAAAGCACAAATTAGTAAAAGGGGACTTTGTTCTTACACAACCGGTAGTATTTCTCTCCTGCTGCTTACGTTTCGATGCCTGTCACTCAGACATCTTCCTCAGAGCTTCTCTGGAGTACTGCTTCTCGCTATACCTATATATTATATGCCCTACCAACCTGATGAAATCATTTTCGGAATCACAACGTAATGTTTGTGAAGATTTGGGTAGACTCAATTGTTTGAGAGTTAGTCATTATCTTGTCTGTTGACTTGAAGAACTGATATTTTGCCTTTAAGATTTACAGAGGATTAAGTCTTAGGAAACTATGTTGATGGCGAAAAAGACAAGTTAAAGTATTCTCTGTTGTCTTCCAGGGCGGCAGAATAGCCTGGTTAGAGATGGGAGGGGAGTACAGTGTGGATATCTACACCGATCTGGACTGGGACATCGCCGAGGAACGTCTGCTGCGGTTTGGATACCACGGCAAACACCCAAAGGTATCAACTCTTTTAAACTTTGTGTATTGGCTTGAATTGTATTATGATTTACTGTGTTATATTCTGCTATGTCATACTTGGGCCACGATAACGTTCGATACGGATGTTCCGGCCCGTGTGATAACTACCGGTATTACACGGGCTTCGATTTTCCAATTTTATTGGGTGGGTGTGTCTGTGTGTGTGTCTGTGTTTCCTGTGGACATCATAACTGCATACTTGTGGATAGCATAACTGAAGAGGGCCTCTATGGATTGTGGTGATTTGGTATGTTGGTAGTTCTTAGGAAGACAAAGATCAAGGTCTAATTCAGACCTCCTGGTGCCTGACCTTGGTACTGAAGCAGAACGTTTTTTGTATCTTTTGTCCTGGGCATGCTATGATCTTGATTTTACGTGGCTGATAGCTTTTCATGTCAGGCACAAGTGGTGTGGGTTTGGTCCCCCGTAATTCTGGAACTACAAGTGAGTTTCTGGCCAAATCAATCAACGCGGATAAATCAAGAAAGGAACGTCGACGAATTTTCATGTTCTCATGTAGGCAGCTTAGACAGAGTTGATTATCTTTGTTTTGCCCCTCCCGTCAGATCGTGAAGCTGGTGGTGATCGCGGCGGACGGCGTGCTGCTGGACAGTCACGTGGAGATCAACGCGCGCGGAGAGGAGCTCATGTCTTATCATCTCAGCGACGTCAACGCCATCAAGCACATGCAGAACAACCTGGTGGAGGTAGGGGGCGTTGTCATCTCAAACCAACGCTTGGAAAACACTGTGACCTTAGACTTAAGTAAAGTCTAATCTCCAAGCAGATCCCTTTCGATGGCAAGGCAGCATCCATTAGACAGGAGTTTGGACGGCCACCAAACTCCTCTGGCTAACAGATACTGTCTTGCCACCGAAAGAGATCTGCTTGGAGATTAGACTTTAGTTCCTCCGGCAACTTCAAACAACATTCCTCTAGAGTTTTCTGTTGTTGTGCTACTTTCATTTCCTTCAATGGTTTAAATCCATGATTTTACCATCCCCTACACTGTGTTCTTCTATGTGAGGTCTTAGGAAATTAATGACTAGTTTCTCCAAATATCTCTGGAATGAAAATTTGACTGTTCTTATGTCCTCAGGTCCGCATCATCGCTGAGGGTGAGAACGTAGTACAGAGACGTCTGGCCGCTTCACTGGGCTGTAAGATTCACGAGAACTCAAAGGTACATCCTCTGACTGTTCCTACAACGTTAGCATGTCCTCTCGCGTTAGTACAATAATGTGTCGTAGATTTCTGAATCTCTATGTTACCCTGATGAATACATCAATGGATCTACATGTACAATACGATTGTTTTGCATCCATCCAGAACAAGCTGCAAGTGCTGAATCAATGGCGGGAAGAGCTGGGACTGACATGGAGAAACGTGGGATATATGGGTAAGTACAAGTAGTATCAACACAACGATCTACCGTTGAAAATATTAATGAAAGGACTAGAAACAATTTTGAAAAAAATTTGAATTTGCTAACATCTAAAATAGTTTAAGTTTTCTGTAGGTGCAACCCGTCCTTTCAAAGTTGTAGGAATACCCATACCTTGAGAAAAAAATTGACATTTGTAATTTGTATCCAGGGGCATGGACACGGACATGCAGTGCGCAAAGGCGGCAGCACGAGCGAATTTCTTGTGCTTTTGTAGGATGTCGATAATCTTAAGAAAAAAATACTAATGTCCCCATCTGTAATTTGAACCCAGGGAGTGAGAACACGGACATGCAGTGTGTGAAGGCGGCGGGCATGAGCGCCTGTCCCGCCGACGCGCACGAGGACGTCCAGCTGGTGTCGCACTTCATTTCCAAGTACAAGGGCGGGCAGGGCGGGCTCAGGGAGTTCAGCGAACAGGTACGCTGAGGTGGAACTGTTGCCGCCTAGTCCTTATAATGTAGACAGAAACGTAGAAATGTTACAAGTCTAAAACATGCTGTATATTTGAATAAATGTCAGGTTAGTTTTCTGTGAGAAATGTTTCCTTTTTTATATAATTTAGGCCGTTAAGCGACGCCGATTTGGATTTAACTGTTGCCGCCTTGTGCGTGCAAACAATATAGACAGAAACGTAGAAATGTTACAGGTCTAAACATGCTATATATTTGTAAAAGTGGTAGGTTAGTTCTCTGTGAGAAACGTTTCCTTCTTATGGCAATTAGCACCGACTAAACTGCTGAGATCACAAAATATGCTGCTCGATGGGCAACCACAGTAAACTAATAAAAAGGAGGGCTACGTTAAGTTTTCGCTCTTTTGGGTACACACTTCTTCGTATACAGCCATACAAAGTATCAACTACTTCTTCTTTTCTTAAAATACTTTAATTTTTACAGGTCCTGAAAGTGAATAAGATGAGCACCTACAAGGACAGAGTGGACAAGACCACAGTCTATGCCAAGTAGAGGAACATCTGCAAACGTCTTCCGCCTGGATCTATCTTGTCAATTTTCTTGCCTTTTCTTTAATGATCACCGTGCCTTAACATAAGATGCTCAGACATCGTCTTATATAGTACATATATAGTCGGAAACTCATTCTTGAGTCAGTAGGTGAATTTGTGGTTTCTTTAACACGACGGCATACATGTGTGACGATAATGTAAAACGAGAATAGTACAGTTTGCGATCAGTATCTGGGCACATTCATAGCACAAATCTAGGGTGCAATATTAATAATAAAAATTTTGTCTATATAGCAAGATTAATTCTATTAATTTGGTAATAATGATGACAGCAATATGATGACAGCAATATATCTTTAAAGGTTGATTTGATGTAGGGATGGATCAGTAACAATATTAAGGGAGAAGGCTGAGTAGAGAAAGCTGTATCGGGCGGGACATCATGCATAATAAATATCTACGATGATATTTATTTGAAAATAGTAACCCTACAGCAATAATGTTGAAGAAAATGATACTTGAATGCACAAAGCAGTGGAGTTGATTTTGTTGTTTATTTGCGTCTATGTACAAGAAATACTTGAGGTGATAAAAGTGGTTGAATACACGTTTATTTTCAAACGTTGACAAAGTGTCTCTGATTCACTTCAGTAGTATTTGATATAACCTATGGCTTTCCATAACTGATACTTAGCCACAAAAGTAGATTTTTTTCTCGACTTAAGACTGCTTCAGCTCAAAGATACACCACTTTAAGTAACCTTAAGCTGAAACCAAAAGTCCCGTACACGCACGCAAAGCTTCCTTGTTGTGTGTTCTTTCTTTCTTTCGTGCACCCAACGCAAAGCTTGCGTGCGACAGAACACTCAGCCTATCCCGGCTATATCCGCCATCAAACTACATGTACGGACACGGATCTGTTGTCACACGGGGTCAAAGGTGCTCACAAACCCACCTAACCGGTTTCTGGATGACTTCACCTGTGATTACTGTACAGACGACAATAACAACAACAGGGATGCGGCAGTACCTGGCACGCCCACATACCCGCCCTTCCGCTTACTGTCTGCACCCCTCGGGGAAAACTACGTCATAATGACCCCCTGGCCGAGAGACAACCATATTTCTTGGTAGTGTGTCACCTGCACAGGTAACACTCGTGCGGTCACCTGTCTCGTGTCTTCAAGTAACCCGGCCACGTCTTGAAACATTTGAAGGAATTCTCAGGAACAGAACCTCGGCATGGCACCGACGGGAAGGATTCTTCTGACGTTCACCTTGATCCTGCTTCAAGTCGTCTTAAGTAAGTGAAATGTTGATCTTGATGCCTTGTACACACAGGTAACACTAGAACGTCCCGTATGTGTGTGTAGTGTGTATGATCTCATATCGACAATACTGGTTGATCAGATCCTTCGCTAAAGACATACTTAAGGGTACACGGCCTTGGTATTATCGGATTATACCTACACTGAAGTCTAGAGTATTGAATTTTCTTCTTAGTACTTGGCGAAGCGTACCAAGATTACCAGCACAGACAAGAGTGGGTGGGGGCCATCTCTTAATGGATAGGTATACGTGTTGTGCTGAATAGGTACGTTTCTTGTTGGGGGGGGGTGTGAACGTATCTAGTTCTACGATCCTTGTGTAGTTTCTTAAGATAACTGTGTGTCTCCCCCTTTACGTTTCTGAAACTCAAGGCAGGTAATTTGGAGACGCCGGTTGTTGTAATTGTTCACGATAAACAAGTTATTGTTATCAAAATCAGCAGCGGGCGTTTCCGTACTGCTTAACAAAAATGACGACAAAAACAATGCAGCACCCACATACATGGACGTCCCGCTTCCCACATTCTTTACGCCATCGCAAATGAAGAATTTCTTGCGTGCCAGAGAGCTTACTGGCGTGTCCTATAGTGTGTTCTAGTGTGTTTAGATCGTCTGTGTTTACCGTCCGCGTTTCCCTGCGCTCAGCCGTTACTGGCCCAAGGGGCAAACCCACTCAGGTATATCGCCTCACAAGTTTCAGTCACCGCGCCATACAGTTCAACGACCCCTCGAGCTTCCAGTCTTTCTCTCACATCCACACACACTACTGTGTAGACTCCAAACTGTTCGCTCCCACATTATTTGTACCTTTAAATTCTTTTGTTGACAACAGTGTGCCGGAATAGAAATAGACACCTGTTATTTTCCACCAGTCGCGTTGTTCCGTGTGGGACCATAGAGGCATAAATATTTCATGAAGTCAAGAAAATCAATAAAGAAAACGAACCAAGCGAACTATATGTTCAAGAAGGGGTTTAATCGTTAGTACTTCTAGTAGTGTTTATGTCCCAACAAGGCGATATAACCCGAACAGGTAACTTCGAGAACGATCTTTAGGGCGAATCCATTGTTTCCTGCTTGTTGTTGCAAGGCTTGAATTTCCGTTCTTACAAAAGATGGACGCCTCTCGTAACCGCGTTATACTGGTGTTTCTCTTACGCAAACCTACAAGCCACAACAATGGGCACTAGTGCAGAAACACTTGTGCGCGGTAATGCGGCGTGCAAGATCGTATTGAGGGAATCGAGTTCAGTCAAGATTAGGAAGATCTAGGGAGGAAATTCGATACAACTTAAAAGAGGGAACCTGCTTGTATATCGCTGGTTGGCTGGTTATATAGATTGATTTTAGGTCAAAAGTTCAAGTAACCTTCTGACTGCACACATCGAACCCGGAACGAAGACATTTTGAATATTCTTTCTAGCTGAGAGAATACGAGTCATATAGTAATTCTAGTAGATCTAATATTGTCGAATTTGTTTTGTGTCAGACCTTCATTCTAGACTGAATAGACGGAGAGTGAATGAAATTCGTTTGTCCAGAATTTTTTTTCTTTCCGACGTTTATAACATGGAATTTCTACCTTAATATATTCAAAGGGAACAGTTTCGTAATCAACCATATATCGAAATTATATGTAAAGTATGTTCCTTACTTTTCCCACAGGTGACCAACAGGCTGTGGTCCTGCCTACAGTGAGAATTCCCTCAGCAATCTCTGTGTCGTTCACGAGTAAGTCTGGCTTTAATCCCCAGTATAGTAAGAAAGGCGACAATGACATGTACAACTGGATTCTAATGTGAAAATACATATTTGACCTTGAGTCCGCTCTAGAATACTGCAAATTCAGCTAAAACTCATCAAATATATATAAACAAAAGAAATCTATATGCAGGATCAGGAGACATGGAGGCATAAGGGCCATTACTAGTTCTGCTTTTACCAACAACTAGTTTCTTTGACACCGATTCTTTCCTATCTTTTCCACAGATGACGGTTTGAACGACCAGGCTGTTTCGAGAGCGTGAGTTGCATCAAATTATTCTCCTGTTGTGTATTTGATTTGTCCACTGTATATTTCTCCTCCCATCCATCCCTACATTCAAATGTGGTGTTGTTGTTTGTTTTTGAATATTTGTTTCTGATCTTACAATAATTCTCTTGTGAATGTGAACATATCCGCTTCCTCCACACACAGAGCCAGCAGTATCAACTGGAGGTCAAGGTTCTACAGGTTCCTGGAAGGCAGATTAAGTGGAAGCGAGCTCAGTGAAGATGACCTTTCTTCGGTGGAAGCCAAAGTACTAGCTGCACTGAAGGTAAATATGTAGAATTAGATAGAACGTTAACGCCAATTCTATCACAAATCACCCCATAATGTCTATCTGATCTGTAACTGCGTTTGTATTTAGTTAACGTATATACATGTATATGACTAAAATGGTAGTTATTGTTGAATGACAATATTGCTATGCTCTACCTTCTCAAAAAATACCAAATACATTTAACATATAAAAGAGACTTTTACGTTAATCAGGCACTAAGGACACCGTGGAGAGACATTTCTCTTGACATTTTCCAGAAACATTTTTTTATAATTTTTGTCACATTTTTAGCCTAGAGATAATTAATGATGTGACTCCCTGTCTACCTTTTTTTTTTCATCAAAGCTACCGAAGCTGAATGAGATCAGTGCGCCTGGGCTAGGGTACCTTCTGACCTCCGAAGACGTCGCCCGAGACGTTCCGTCGGTTGTTCACGTCTTGAAGAACATCGACAACGTCAAGTTCTTCGACATTCTTCAGATCGCAGCCTCCACCTCAAGTCTGGTAAGATTGTAACATTCTCTTTAAATATAGAGCTAGAAAAGTAGCATTTGGTGAAGTAAGCATGATAGATTTGGTTTATTTTTCTACGCATACAAGACAGTCGTGTTTTAACCGGTTAGATGGTAGTATAATGAAAGAAGTTAGGCAATTTCTTATGGTTGCTTTGCATGTGTCTAGGTTAGATAATGGTACTTTTATGATGGTACATTTAATAACTATCTAAATGTTAACCAAACTACTAACTGAGCAACCCAACAACGTATAAGATTGTTTGTAAAATATTCAAAGCCATCCTGAATTAAAACGATAGTTATATGTATACAATGGGCATTATACCGACACTTTTGAACCAGATGTAAGCATGAGATATTGATATCATAGGAGTAAGCATGATGAGTAGCCCTTCTAGTAACATTACAGGATTCTAAGCTATGCTCTAGAAACTGACTTTGTTTACTGTAACATATTTCACATCAGGGACAAGGCCCGCAGCCAGACCGGTCTGCAGCCCTGCCCCGCCAGCCTGTCCCCGGACTGAACATCTCCACACCTCTCCGGGACGCCATTCTCAACATCGGGATGAACCATCTGCAGGGTAATTCCTGTTTTTTTTTTTTCATTGTACTTTTATGTATATATTTGCGGTCACTTCTCTACGGCGAACTTATGATTGAAGTTAGCAAATAATTCACCAAACACCGACTTTTTCTGCACCTGCCGCCACCGTGCGTGAACATATTTCCGTGAACTTTTTTCTCAGACCTTGAACTTTTGCTACCGTTAACATAAAGTGAATTAATATCTTTTTAACATCATAAAATTCTGGGAATGACAACCAGGTGAGAGCTGTTGAGAGCTATCTATTTCGTTGGTTTGATATATTTCAATCTGCTTTTCTCAAATTCTATTGCAATGCCCTTAGGAAGTTTTGAATCACTGAATCTGAATTCGGAACAATGAAACAACTACAACTGTCCATCACCTTTTTTTATTGTATTTCAATAACAATTGTGTGCTTGTAGGTGAACTGGACGAGGCATGGCAGGACAGCCTGGCGAAGTTGTCGCCTTACCTGCCGGGTATCACTGTGGGGCAGGTCAACAGGGTCAAGCAATCCGACATGGTCGCCAACAAACTGTGAGTGGAGGACCATGGCTCTTCGTTTGTTGTGTTACACAAATAAACTAACTCAGAAATTATACTGCACAGGTGGTTTTGGGACTTTGGAGTTCTTAATGATTAGGCATCGTTATAGTTGAAAACTGATGAAAATTGTAGAAAATTGCTGGGAAATTGGATGTAGTTCAGCCCTTTCGCTGGCTAATGCAGTCACTAGCGTTGACAGTTTTTAAATCAAATCTGTACATCGTACATTTTTATTACCTACTCATATTCGGTATTTCTATAATGTACAAAACGAGACTGTTTCTTTTATGTGGATAATTTTCTACTTTTATTTCAGTAAAAATGAACACTAAAAGATTTGTTCTCTTTGCTTGTGTCTAGCCTGGAACTCTTGCAGAATGCCCGGCCCATGCTCAGCAGTTCTGTGCGAGCTAACGTTGTCCGGTACTTCAAGCGAGTCAAGGCCGGGAACTGGTCGACAGAAGAGAACGTCATTCAGTCACTGGGAGTGTTTGTTGGCGACATAAGTCTGGACGATGTTGACAACATAACCATCGATACAGTAAGTATATAAACACGCAGGATTCCGATTCCAAATGTTTTAATTGCTTAAAGTTTGGATCGTTTCGTGTCATCAATATACTAGTAGATACATGTACAAACTCAACGATTGGTCACATATTAGTTATATATTAAAAACCTGTCTCCTGATACTGTATTGCAACGAGTATCATACTTGATTGTACAAGCAATTAGCCTTCGGGCATGATTTTGCAAATAAAGTTTCTAATAAACGGATGCGAATCACCACATCTAACATAATTTCAATTAACAGCCAACGTATGGTAATATCTTTTTTGTTTTGAAGATATGCCTTGAAACCGTGTAGTTATTTCTATGCTTCTTAGTTCTATGTTTAGTGAAAACCACAAAACGAACGAAAATGTGTACAAAATCATCTGAAGCTAAAATTTGATTGAATGATATATTTTGACTTTCCCTTCTTTCAGTGGAAACTGGTGTTCAACTCTCACAGACTAGAGGACATTGACCCCACGTTAGCCCGCGGCATTCTGGATAAACTGCTGTATGCAAATGTCACCGTAACGGAACCAATAGGCAACGTTCAGAGGTAAGTCCGCTTCATGCACCACAGCAGAGTTACACACAAAAGATTGTTCCAGTTTTGGTAAGAATTTCAGTAAAGTAAACACTAGAAGGCTTGTTCTTTTTGCCTGTGCCTAGCCTGGAACTCTTGCAGAATGCCCGCCCCATTCTCAGCAATTCTGGAATTCGTATTCCTTTCATGGCAGCTATCGCTGTTAAGTTAGATTTAACAAATACAAGCGACAGCAGCATGGATGCTGATCTTTCTTGACTTATTAGTCAAGTGCCGTTTGAAAAAAGACTTGTGTATGTTTGAAAAAGACTTGTGTATGTTTTTGCTGCAGACTGGGTAAGCTGACGTGTGTGTTACCCGAGGCGCTGGGGTACAAGGCGAGTTCCCTGAGTCAGGACGTGTGGCGGGAACTGGCGCGGGTGCTGCACAAGTGTAACATCGGCGCCCCGGGACGGCCTGGGAGCGGGCTGTCCAGACCAGGCAGGAAGGTAGGATGCTGTGGATGTTTCGAGTTATACGCGTTTCAAACGCTTTGTTGGTATATTTGGTAACTCGTTTGTTAAGAGCTATACCAAATGTTACTGTGGTTAGGTATGAAGAGAAAACAACGAAGTGCATTGGGGGAATTAGATAATATAAGACCATGTAATACTCGTGTATTGTAGTCCTTTAACCGCCCTTTTATTTGCTGTCAAAAGGCACATTCGTTGCTATTCATTCAGGTCAAGGATAAGCTTTATTGGGGCATTTTGCTTGGCGTTTTTAAGTCCAAGTGTGGTAACGGTACTCGGGAGAAAAGCATTTAAAAGTGGTACGCGGTACGGCCTGGCTCTGTTAGGGAATAATGTATGGAGTGGATGGCACATTCAGCACCAAGGACAGCTCCCAACGTTAGTAGCCCCAGAACGCACTACTACCGTTGGGACCTGTCCTTGGTGCTGAACGTGCCATCCACTCCATACGTTATTCTATAACAGGACTCGTAGACCTTTGCATGGTTTTGAGTGAAAAATAAGGACTGTATATTCCATTGTTTTACACCAAAAAGTAACGTTAGATGTTCATCTTGTATCTCAGTTGGCTCAGAGAATCGCCAAGTCGCTGATCCCTGTACCAGCCTCTGCCAGTGTCACTGACCTACGGAACGTTGGCCCCGCCATTGTTGGCCTGTCGGTCACTGACCTCCAGCAGCTGAACAACAGGAGAGTGTATGACGCCATGTCTGAAATGTCACAGGCCCAGGGACTGTCCAGGGCACAGGTTGGGTTTTTGTTTCTTTACTTTCGAAAACGCAATTAACATTTTGAGATAGCTTCTCAAAGTCTATTAGGTTTATTTGCTGTGGGATATCGTCTTTTTTCTTTCATGAACATGATTTTTCTTACACCTCAACTTCGTTATTATTTTGCAATTTCAGGCACAAACTCTACTTCAAAAGTATGTCAGTGGAAAAGGGGTAAGTAGAAAAAAAATTTGTATCTAACTTTCTTTTTCAGTTGCACATCGCCATCGGTATAAGTCAACACTATGTTAGCACAGTCTTAATGACTTTGGATAACACAGTATCTTTCCCTTTCTAAAGTCTTCAGTGACCACTTCAGACTTTTCTCGCCTGGGCAATGTCGTAGCAGCAGTGGACAGCGAAACTCTGGCCCAGTTTGGACGACAGGACCTACAGGGGTCACTTTCTACTATCATTGCTTCCGCCCACACGATGTCTCCTGCACAGAGGAAGGCCATTGTGAAGAAGGTTAGCTTTCATTACATGATCTTACATGATAGCTGCCCATGTGTACTAGTTTGTGTCACAACGTATTTGTACTACAATGTGGCATTGAATAACCAACTGGCTAGGCTACTGGATAGGAGATCAAGAGGTCTTATCGGATCAATCACTGGCATTCCAGGCTAGTCATAGTGTCCTTGGGAAAGGCCCTTAACATGATCTTCCTCACTCCACCCAGGTGAATACACATGAGCATGCTTCTGTTTCAAACATAACTTTACATGTATCAATCATAAAAGAGAACAGAGCAAAGGCAGCAGAATTAAGTACATTAATCTTGGTTTTGCATCACTGTATGTTATCTTGCTGAATATGAATACTTTTAATTAAAGTTCATTCATCTGACGAACATGGTGGATTTGAAACATAGAAGAGTAGATATGTATAATAGTTACAAACAGGCTCGTTCAAGTTAATACCAACATCATAAAAGTGACATATTTTAAACTTATTGTTTCAGATTGTTGGCAACAGTCCTGACAGTGTTGTGAACGACCTTGGACCTCTGATCTCTGACCTGTCTCTGGGGTCAGTACAGAATGTGTTCCCATCACAACAAGACATCCCCACACTGGCTACACTACCCTGGAACCAAGCACAGGTAAACATGCTCAGGAAACATTAACACACATTCATACTTGAAGTGTGAAAATAAAGCACACCTATGTTTAATGCACACTGTAATGTTATACTATTGTATGTAGATTGACCCTATGTAAACGCACTTTCTGAGTGAGGGTTGGAAGTTGTATTTGGTTACTACTAACATGTCAACTATCAAAAGAATTTAACCGTACAGTATTGTCTTTTTTGCCTTTCTGTAGTACACTTTGTCCGATTTTTTAAAACTGTTGTTTACAAATTACTCCTTCTGATGACTTATCCAGGCAGCAAATATGATCAAGAGAATAAAGGAGACAAGACAGCTGACTCCAAGTTTAGTTGGGTAAGATGGTTTGTTGCTGTTCATTGGAAAAAAAATTGTAACTGCACTGCATGTAGAATTTCTTCCATTTCTCTTTCTTGAGTACACAGTTCACACTTAATTTGTGGTTAAAATGAGTACAACAATCCTTATTTACCTGATAACATATCCATTAGGGTGTGCTTAAAAGAATGAGAACTAAGAATGCTAGTGTACAAAACATGTTGACAAATCAGTCTATCATCAGTGAGAAACAGACTACCAGCAGTACTAACACCTGACATGTCTTTGTTCAGTACATTAGGTACCCTGTTGAGTGGGTTTGGGTGCCCTGACATGGATGATGTAGCTCTACAGGACATTGTTGAAGTGACTGTGATGCTGTATGATTATGTGGATCAGCTTCCCAGAGCAGTGGTAAAGAACCTTTCTTGTTCTTGTTAATAATTATATCTAATAACATAATTTCAAAGGGTCAAATATATCCTCCAACATGAAAAATGTTTCCAAAGAGATTTTCAATGCAACAGCTTCCAGTATAATGCACAGGATATAACTGTCTGTGCATTTGTAACTATATATATATATATGAACACAGAGCACCAGAAATATATAGCTGCAGCATAAACTTACTTCTTTATTTATTTTCTTCCTTTCAGAGAGTTTGCCTGGCCAATGCCACGCTGGTAGCCATGAACATCACCCTGAAGAGAAGTGGCACTGTGACAGGCTCCACTGGTGCTGTGACTACAGTACCCGGGCATGTGATTGCAGAAATGCAGTAAGTGTATCCATATACTCCTGAATATATGTTCACCTATAACTCATCTTGTCAACTAGTGTAAAGAAGAATTCAACATATTATGTTTGAAGCTGTCTAGAAATGTTATAAAATCACCTAATTTCCTCATCAATATTATATTTACATGTATTGTGAATGGCTCACTATAATGTAAAGTGTTCTAGCTAATAATGCACTGATATAAAGTAAACATGGCCAGATAAAGTAACGTAAAAGATAATATGTTTCAAACTGAATAGTTTTTTACTTGAAATTCTCTGATGTTGTTTCACATGACCAAGACATTTATATCAGTATTGCAAATCCCTACAGGTATGAAATTTTGGCCTCCATCCCACGTCCAGACTGTAGTGATGCATTCCGCAAAGTTGGAAAACTGGACATGTCACAGTTCCCTCTGTGGTACCAGCGCAACATGACAGCACTGGCACTCACCTGTCTGGTAAGATGTACACAGTTATGGTTCAGGGTGTTGGCTCTTTTTCTTTGCTACAATTTAACAATTTATGAAGATAGCATGCCAAATATAAATGGGAAGCATGTTTTATGTTACATATTTTTGAGTCATTCTGCATGTACAAATATGAAAAACATTACCTGTTAACACTTCACTTATTAAGTAACACAAGATTATGGGGTAACTTTTTGCATTCAATTTGGCTTATCAATAATCTTTCTACTGTAGAAAGTCCACTGAAATTTAATTTAAACTGTCACTGAGTAGGGATAGCTATCAGGCAGTGATATAAAAATTCTATTAAATGATGCACTTACAGAAATACAGCTGGGAGTTTTGTAGTAATAACAATAACATTTTATCAACCTTTCTTGGATAGTATTCATCATGCATGTGTCATCATTGACAGCAGTGTTATTGTTTACCTACAGGGTAAACAAAAGAGTCAACCATACAGACTGGATGCCACGGATGTTGATGTGCTCGGGAAACTTCTGTGTCACATCGATGACTTCTTTAAGGTTACTGAAGATGCAGTGCTGGATGCCATCAACCTCCTGAAGGAATGTCAGTGTTTCACTGTCAGACAGAGAGAGGCTGTGAAGGACATGATTAAAATTGCCTTTGGGTAGGTATTGTTTTTATTCATCCCATATCACCTAGTATTGTACTACGTAGACTGATTTGTTAGATTTGTTCTATCATTTCTGCCATACTTTGTACCTTGTTGCGTAATAAAAGTCAGTATAATGCTTGGTTAGTCCGTCTTATATAAATTCACGAATCATTAAACATTTTTACAAAATTTTTAAAGTATTGCTGTGAAATTCACTCATACTGCAAGCTTGATGTTTGTTACATTGATGGGTCACATTAAAATATTCGCAAAATTATTACCTTGTATGAGAAATATGAAAGAAATCAAAGCTAACCACCTTGTACTATTATAAAGACCATCTTACAATGCATCTCCTAGTCATCCTTCCAGTTCTGAGTGTGCATGCAGTGTGAAAGGGCATAAGTGATAAGCCCTGTTTTGCTGAATGTATTGCTGTAACAACATAATGTGTCCATCAGGAACAATGCCCGATGGTGGACGTCCTACGAGCTGGGCCAGGCCGGGCCTCTCCTCCACCTGCTGGATGGAGACATACAGAGGATATCTCAGGTCAGCAGCACCTTCTCATAATACTTTGTGATTTATTCTTGAAATGGCTGACATTGTAAAGGTGTGATCTTAATTGCATGGTGATTTGAGGCTGGTATGTACATGCCTAGTAAAATGCAGAAATTGTAAAGGCATTTTTAGGGGCTGGAAGCATGCATGGATAACAGAAAAAACTCTTCAACTGTTGTCCTTCTCAGAAATGACATTACAATTACCAATATTGCTCAAAAACCCCTTTCAACCACTAGCTATACCTTTCGCCTTATAGCTGCCTATTGTCTAGGCCACTTTATGCATCTGTAGAAACCATTTCATGATGTCATTGATCTCTTATTGTAATACTCTTATTGTTCAAACATCAGTGTCTATCTCTTCTTTTTTCTTTAGGATGCTTTGTTGGATGCCATAGATCTGGTGCTTCCCGTCCCACAAGACAACAGAAACATCATCAATGCAAACAGAACTACAGAAAGAGACTGTCTGCCAGTGAAGAGGAATAACAATCTCTATAAGAGGGTCATCTCTGCAGTTGCCAGAGGCAGGACATCACCCATCCCCACACGGAACAGGAGACAAAGTTAGTTGGACTGTTATTTGTATGACACGCTGATCACATGTCCTTTAAAGTAAATTTGTGTTCCTCTAAACCTGTAGACACTCCATGTGCCATAACACTACCTAAACTTGAGTGTGAAGCTGACAATCTTGCAGGAACCACTCTACCTCTGTGGCATAAGGCTGTATTTAAATGGATGGCACTTTCAGCACCAAGGAGAGGTCCTAGTCCAAAGTGCTGCAAGGGAAATGGAAATCAGTTCATTAAGATGTGATTAGACTTACTAAATTGATTTTATGTGCTGGCATTGCCAAAACCTTTCAAACTGAACAATATATCTTCCTAAATTTTTCCTGTTTAAGTTCTTAGATTAGCAAGGCATGTTTTCTACCCTTTTGTAGTGGTTCGATGGTCATACAGTACAACGTAAGTCTACTACATGTAGTAGGTTGTTGATTGTAGGATCATAAATGGAGTTTCTCTCCTATGTTTTGCAGCCCTGCAGGCGCCTCTCCTGTGTGACCAGGTGCAGCTGCTGGGTGATGCTGTAGTACAGCTGACAGAACAGCAGGTGACCTACATGGAGGACAGGGAGTTTCTGGACTGTCTGGAGGTGTTCGGTGCTGCCCGCTCCAACGACACAGACTGGGATGACTACATGCTGCGTGTGCTGAGGATCAAGACTTTTGATGTGAGCTTAATTGACTAGCCTTACTTATAATCAGAATAAAATGAAGTATATGGCATTACCTACTCTGAACTGTTTAATGGTTTTAAAAACTTTTTGTTGAAGTATTGTGTCTCTATATGTGATCTTGTTTTGCTTCAAACAAAATTGACCTCTGTGAGAAGGATGATGGATTTAGAAACACTTTCCTACTTATGAGATGATGATTACAGATATACCGGAAAACATTTCCATCTCCAACATTACTGTGTATATACATGGATGGACTTTTAAAATAAAGTTTACAGTTAAAGGATTATGACTGTCACATGTTAAATTCAATAAACCGTTGATTATAATCATGAAAATAACACTGATGTTATTTTATTTGCAGGCCGCTGGAGGAACTGTCCAGCAGTTGACCCCTGACCGCATGGCGCGAGTTGGTCGCATCGCGGTGACCTTTAGCCCCGGCGACCTGTCAGCTCTGAACTATGGGAACATCGACAGTGTGTACGGCATCGCAAAGCACTCTAACTACAGCAAACAACAGGTTAGAGTCAAATGTTTGCTTTTAGGTGCATTTTAGGTCCTTTTCCTTTCCTTAACCATACACGTATGTTAAGAAGAATTTGGAGGCTCCTGCAGATGTTGAAAAACTAGAAAGAACTCTGTATTCATTAACAGCTTAACACTTTGTATCCTTGTAAAATTAATGTTTCTTATATTCTCATACACATGTAGTCTGCATAAGTATTTTGCAATTTCTCTTGAAACCTTGTCAGCACAAAATATATACTACTAGTTTATATTACTTGTTCTACTATGAAGGGGGCCTATGAGTATGTAACAGGTTAGGTTATGGGCTTTTCAGAAAGCTCTGATTGGTCAGATTTGAAATGTAGTGTCATGACTGTTGGGTACAGGTGGAGGCTGCCTTCAGAGCCTTCCTGAACCAAAACGGAAACGACGTCAGCGCTCTGACAGAAAGGCAGCTGATTGGACTCGGTAACTTTCTGTGTGGCATGTCCACATCACAGGTCAGCAGGATCAACCTGGGAGCTTTCAGGTCGGTGGGATTTAGTTTTAGGTGAAATATCTCTCACTAAAGATATCTTATACGTAATGCTAATAATATTCCTCATATATTGTTCAGCAATTGACGTAAGGTTTGATTTTCAATGTCATTCCAAATCTAAGATGGCATGAGTTTAACATTAGACAAATTATTGTTAATACATTGAAGAAGTGTTCACTTTTAATTATAACTTGACTGAAGGGTAAACATTTATCTTCCTTGCATTTCATATTTTGCGAGAAACTTTTAGTATAAAAAAACAGCAGGTCATTAAGTATGTAAGTGCAGTGTCTGCTTCAAATACACTAACTTTCCATGATTTCCAAACTGTAAGAACTGTTACTAATTCCCCCACCTTCTTAACATATTCACTAGTGATGCAGTGCGCAGTATTGGCCTGCTGACAGATTGTGACAATGCCAGACTGGGTGCCCTGAGAACCCTGGCAGGAAAACTGTATGGTGGGCCCAAAACGTGGGGCCAGGATACTATAGTGGACCTGGGGGTTGTCATGGGTAAGTGTTGGTTTACCTCCTGTAAAGTGACTTCAAAAGACAGAGTGTGGCAAATGTGTTATTTATGAAATCATGTAGAATTATTTTTCATGTAACATTAATTACTCATGACTAAAGGGTTTACTGGTTCTGAATGCATAGTAGAAACAGTTTTAGCTAATTCCTTTGTAAAGTTTAATGGGCAGATAGCTGCCTTAGATATGAGACAATATGCCATTATGATCTAGTAGAATATCCAATGTCAGTGCAGTCATTTTCTCATGCCGATGAATAATGACAATGATCCATGTTACATTCAGTAACTTCCTGTTCTATTTCAGCTGGGCTGTCAGCATCGGAGCTGTCAGGGTTACATGAGGACAGGTGGAGAGCTATCACACCATTGGCTATCTCTGTTATGGACCCAAACAAATTCAAGGTATGCTTAGATACTACATGTACACCACTGTCTAAAGATGTAGGCCTGAGACATAGTGGACGTTTTTTTTCCAACAGTTCAAATTCCATTTTCTATATTGACATCACTATATAGATAACAATTCATCAATTCATATCATTTTTACGCACTTTCACTCTCAGCTATTTTCATGTAACTTTAGTGTGACACGATCACTATGTGTAATATACAATTGAGAGATGTTGAGAAAAAGAAGATACTCTTGTCTTGGCTTTTCATTGCAGTTGTCAAAGCCTTGTGAGATCGTTTTGCCCTTTCTAGCATAGCATATTTGATAGTCATCAGAATTCTTATAAACTCTGAGTGTTGTTGAGGAGTATTCAATCCTTTGTTTATGTCTGTTTCAGCAACTCTCTGCTTCACGGCTAAGAAGGTTGGGCCCCTCGCAGGCCATGGCAGTCACTAACAAACAGTTGCGGGCTGCGTCCCAGGCACAGAGGGATGCTGTGTATGATGCAGCCTTGGGACAGAATGGGAACAGAGGTAAGACATCATATACAGATCCTCAAGGGCAAGGGTAGCATTCCTTCAGAATGTTGATGGCATTTAGCATGGCTACTTCTTAAAGGTTTGCCCAATCTTAAAGTCGTCTATATGACACAGAAGCTTCCCCAAGACGTCAACATCTGTAGCATCCAGTCTGTACTGTTGACTCTTTTGTCAAGTCTTTTGATACTCCCTGTACATCTTGGTTCCATGGTGCATTTAGAAGATCCAATCCATAGAAGTGTCAATGACATAATAGAGTTTTTGCCTTCATGGAACCTATGGAACAGAATTGAACAATTGCTATTTATATGAGAGAAGTCAAATTATGGGACATCAGCATGTGAACACAAAACTGTAGCTACAATTTCTTCTAGTTCCCCTTCCAAGATGGCCAGTATTAATGGTGTTTTGTCAGAATATAATATGAACTCTTCCTTTCTTTTCCTCCAGCCTCTCTCCTACAGGCCAACATCATGATGATGGTTGTCTGCTTCTGCTGTGCATTACGATGGTGGTCCTGATGTCTGAAGGTTGTGAATTTGTTTATGAATAGTGCTGTAATGTCATACATCAATCATGATACAAAAAAATGATATACAAAAAATCACCATCAAAATGCTACGAGGATAAGGAATATAAGATGAGCTGGTTGGTGTTGGTTCACTCTTAAGAAATAATCATACTCATAATCAATGTGAATTTGAAATTTGCTTCAGAAAACAATTGTGTAATCATAGATGAGTGCTCAAAACAGTTGTTCCACAAGTTTTGGCAATGTTTGTTGTACGCACTATTTTGACTTCTCTGGACGTTTGTTTTACTTCATTAATTTTCTTTTTATGAAAGTCAGATTGGATTACATCCTGTGATACAAACATGTATCATATATGATGACATGATGCTTTTATATCTCAAGGCTTTTCCACAGTTTAAAGAGATAAGTGTATATATTATGTATATTCCCATGGATTCAACAAAGAGTGTACATACTGAGGAATATTGCTCACGTTCTCGTCCTACATTAGGAGCCTAAATATAAATTTTATTACCCCAATACGGGGCGATTACAACACCAAGTGCCTAACTGTGAGATTTGTCACGTGTTTCCCTAAATTGGCAATAAAAATGGAAGCGTTTCAGGGGAAAGAATTTGACAGAGAAATACTAGCATGTGTCAGAAATGTTTTTGGACCGTGTGTACAAAATTGAGTACAAATAAAGACAAAGGAGATACACATTCTCTGGTGTGTTCGAGTCATTTATTCCATGGTATGACATCATGTGATGATAATTTAAACTGTACACAAGCAAGACATAATTTAATGCAATTTGCATCAATCCGATCATTAGAGTAACAATATAACCGAACGGCAGTGTCCCAATAGTACATCAACAAAACCAGCAGTGTGGCTTCTTTTCCACAAAGTCAATTATTTTGTACAAACCTTCAATAATATCACACATCTCCCTTACTGTTGTTGTAGTAAAGATCCTTGATTTCTGTTCCTAATTATTGTCACCAGTTAGTTCAATATTTCAAATACATGGGACATGTTTGGTAAGACAGAGTGCACCATGTTTCTTCAGTTCTTTCTTGAAGGAAAACAAAACATTGGGATCGATGTGATAAATAAAACAAGTTGCACCAATAAGAGCTGGGAGCAGCTTTTACCAATGCATTATAGGAATAAACGTACATGTATGGTACAGAGAATACAGTATTTTGGATTTTACAGTCAAGTGATTACATGTTCTAAGGTGGCAATTATGCAATTCCTTCTTGGTATTAAGATAGAGCTACAGTAACTGTTTTTCTTCTAAATATGCATCAATTCTTACTAATTAATATTACTTTCTTCTGACCAATGAAAAACATTTGTGTAATTTTGACTTTTTTTTTCAGAAAATTACAGATGACTAGAAACAAAAATGTGATGAAACCATCGTTGACAATAAGTAGTGATTCTACTTTTGGAAAAGATGCAGCTAGAAACAAAACATCAAGTATACACTGCATAGGGGGAAAGGCACATTACTATGTACATATCCTTTCTCTGAGAAACACTGTTCTCAACAAAATAATACTTAACAAAAGATCTACTGTACACAGATATCTCCTCATCTATTGTTATATCAACTTCCACTGACTCAATCTGTCCAGCGGACAAACAATCCATAAGCAGACATAATTTCATTAAGTAGTATATATACATCTTTTCATTTACAAATAGGAAAAAGGGAGTCTTTTCCTAGGATTAACAAAGGTTGTCGCCTCCTTACAGTCAAGTCTACTTTCAGGTACTGTAAGTCTGCACTTTCAGTGAGTCTGGGGCATCTCCAAAAGCAATAGTCACAGCACACAAACAAAACAAAACCAACACAAAAATTGCAACAGAAAATACAGCCAAAGCACAGAAGTAGTGCTTAAATGTCTGTATCTGTACTTACAAAAGAACACAAAGCTCAGTGAAGAACAGAAAACGATTTCAGCCAAGCTACATTGTAGCACCACCTTGAATGTCTAGAAAACTACTGTACAAATGTACTCAGTATCTCACACTAATATAGCACAAGAAGTCTGGTTCGATCATATATATACACGAGACAACAGATGTGATGCCTTAATGTTGAAATTTTCTTCCAGTGTTAGCAGTGATGTTGAGAATAAATTTAGGGATTACTTCATGACAAATAACATGAGACCTGTTTCCTCCATTCATCATTCAATCTTTCTGACCAACTCAATGGCAGCCCCTACAAGTCCACTGTAAATTAACTATTCCTGATAACTGATTATTTTTCACAAAATGTGATAACAACTGACCAATTTTCAAAAGCACAATGATTTTTCATTCAAGAGAAATGGCTTTTCCCTGGTTTCACTGTCAAGGGCAAAATATATAGTACTTGATTCATAAATACTTCTGGCAGCTTTTTTTTTCAATGATTTTTCAATCATGATCATATGGACTTGAAGAACAAAGTGTTCAATTTTTCTGTAACCATTCCACTCGCTTATTATGCTTTCAATTCAATCCCTGCGCCTGCAACAGAAATAACCAAAAAGTTCAACCATCATTACTTCTACGCTCTTCCATAAAATTTACCGTGCGCACTTGCCATGCCTGCAAAAGAAATATTTCTTTTTCATGACTAACTAAATTTAGTAAATCCTCCAGATATCACATACAGCAACAGACATCTACCACAGGTTAGCAGCTACTGTTCTTAAACTCCCCGTTCTCGGTGACGGACAGCTTGGCGGATGGCTTGGAGTTGTTGGCAGCGTTCTTCATGTGGTGGTGGTATTTCTCCTTCAGCTGGTTGAGGGCGGTGAGCAGCCGGGCGTTGGCAGAGTCCAGTGACTGGATGCGTTTCTCCTGCGCCTCGATGACGCGCTGCTTGGCGTCGACCAGCTGCTGCATCTCCTGGTGTTCCTTCCGCAGCTCTTCTTCTACTGACATCAACCTGAAAGGAAGGACAGAACAGTTTAATCTTAGCTCTGCTGGAAAGAGGGAGCTTAATTTATTTTGCTGAAAATTTTATTGACACAACAAAAGTACAGCGACTTTCACAAGGTCTTAAACTACATGTTTATTTTACTTTTGGGTCACTGATAACAGTTGAAGAGCAGATGCACTTTAACACAACAGTAGTTTCAAATGACGAACTGACAACAATTGGTACAAATAGTTATACAGTAGGTACAATGTAGTTCTCAGTTATATTCAAAGCACATGACTTGTGAAATGTCAGTAATGATACATTTCAAAACATTTAAAAAAGAGCAACACAACACAGATGCATCATGTATACTTATTTATGTAGTATACACACATGTATAATTAGTATGAATGAGGAGGTAAAAGAACTAATTTTGAACTGCAGCTTACCGTGTGATGATGTTCTTCATCTGTGCATCCTTCTCTTCCTGCTGCCCTTTCAGTCTTTCTTCTCCCTCTTCCATTTTTTTCTTCCATGCTGCCAGATCCCGTTCATACTTCTCTTTATCCTCCTCTCTTCGCCTCTCTACTTCTGCAGTTTGAGCCTCAGCTGCTAGGAGTCTCATCTTGAGCTGAGCAATCTCTGCTTCGTGCTGTGGTGAACACAAAAGTTCCAGTGTGTCAACAAAGACATACTCTCAATTAAACACCTTCTCTCTCAACAGAGTATTAAAAAAATGTGCCACAGCACACTGAAAATTCTTGCAGACCAACAACTAGAAATGATCACACTCTCATTTCTCATCACGGACTCTTCAGCCAATTAAAATTTCAAATCTCAATTCAACCAACCACAAGTCATGTGACCACAACAGACCAATCAAGTCGATTTTGTGTACTACATGCTTTTGCAATTGGACGTCATTCTTATTTTTGAGTGATGACATTTGCTAGTTGAGTTCAGGTCTGTTCAAAAGTGCAGTGGTGCTTTCACAATGGTATTATGACATGTAACAAAACAATTGCTTGTTGCACTGGTGTTCCCTTGCTTCCCATAGTAAAAGAGTGGCCAGCACAGTGAAGACAAGAGGCAAGGATGAGTGTGCATTCTGCAGAAGTCTGCATGCTGCAAGAGAGAGGGTGTAAAACCGTCACGACCAAGCATGCAGCCAAACCCACAGCCCTCCACCAATCCACGCTTCCCACAAAAAACACCTTGGCTTTAGGAACAAACTGTTCTGCCGTAACCCTGTCTGTACAGAGCGCGAATGATCCACCTTGGCAAGGAGACGTGTCATAAGTTTCCTGCAGAGAGCTGCGAGTACCGTTCCCGTTGCTGAACTAGAAGGTCCTCTAACTCTTGAACCTGGAGCTCTACATTGGCCAAAATCTCCTTCAGCTCCATTATCTACATACACAGGGGGGAAGGTGCAGGTGTGGGAGTTAGAAGAGGAGACCTGACCACCCCTATTGTGGAGTGGTTGCAGCCACACTTAGCCTGTGTTTCTGTGCTGCTTGCCCTGTTTGGAACTAAGCTTTCCAGACACCCCTGACTAACTACAAGCAGTAATTTAGCTCTCCACCACCATGTGCAAAAAACATCATGTCAGAGTATCTGACTTATCATTTAAGTTTTACTTTTAATATCATAATCTTGATGCCAACAATAGTCAGTGTCGCCAACTTTCTACAGCAAGTACAAGGGTAGAGATACTTGGTAAAGCAAGAAAAGTCTAAAATTATAGCCACAAAATGTAAAAAAAAAGCTGGGAAATACTAACCTGTTCATCAGCTTTCCCATTGGGCTCCTTGTCTGCAGAGCTGGCTGCTGGGAGTACCCTGGGAGCGGGGGTGGGGGTGAGTCTGGGGACGGGGGAGTGCGTCGCTCTTCTCGACTCCACTCTCGTCATACCGAAGGCAGGGAGGGACTCTGCCCGCGGCGGTGGCGTGGGGGCGTCAGGGTTCGCTGGCACAGGCCCACGACTGGAGTCGCTTCTGGATAGCGACTGCTCTGACGGGGACTGCCTCATGGCATACTCGTGCACAGTTCTCTCGTGTGGCGGCCCGTGCGACACTCTCACCATGGCGGACTGGTGCAGCGACGGGAGCATGCGAGACTCGACTGTAGCGAGTAGCGGGGACGGTCGGCCGGACGACGGGGTTAAAGGTGAGGGCGTGGTCACACAGGAAGGCGATGTCAGGTCGTTCATGGGACTTGAAGGTGTGGAGGAGGAAGCATACCCAGCTAAGTCTCTTCTACTTGCTCCAGACGATACACTACTTTCCTTTGTAGATGAAAAATCCATTGAAGACTCCTTGATTGGTGGAGGTAATGGAGGCGGAGAGACGGTCAGGTCTCTCTTTTCCACGAGCGGGGAGTTGCTGCTCGCCTTTTGCGACCGCTGAGTTCTTGGGCTGAAGTTGGCACGGGGTCTCTGTTCGTGCAGTCTCTGTGCCAACTCCTCCATTCTCCGACTGTGGTCGTTTCTGGCGAGGAAGTCCTGTTTGGAGTTACCCCCCGGGCCCTTCAGCCTGTTTCTCGACTGCGGTGAGCCCGTCCGGTTGTGCAACATTTTGATAGAGTTGACAGGAGTGCTTGCGTCGCTGCTGTCCTCATCGTTACTGCTGACATTCGAGCTGTGCACCGAGCTGTTCACAGAGCTCAGGCTGTCACTTGACGTGTAGTCCATGCTGGTTGGTGTGGCGTGCTGCTGTTGTTGTTGTACCGGGCTGGTCGGGTACTGATACACCGGGTTAGAGAATGACAGCGGACCCAGCGGGAGATTGTTCGGTCTGGGAATGCTGCCGTTCCCTACCTGCGATCCCGTCGTCACATGTCCATTCGCGATGGTGCCACCACCAGACTGACTGCCTGACCGTCCCGATAGCCCAGGGCTCGGGCAACGTCTGCCCGATGACCTGATACTCGACAGACTTCCAATAGAAATGGGTACCTTCCCTGCCTCCTTGTCTCCGTTCTCGTTAGCCTGCAGTCTCGCCAACGGCGACCCCGACCGTCCGTTCAACAAGGGGGACCCTGTACTGCTGTTCTGTGCCCCCGGGTTCACTATCACGCTCCCCGCGGGGGGCTTGTGGATCATACGTGGCGTCGCCTGGGCTGGGGTCTCCCCTACGCTGGACAGGTCCGCGTCCTCGAATATTCGGGACAGGTTGTGCGGCACGCTGCCCATGTGGAAGTTGGGGGTGGAGCTGAATCGCTCATAGTTCTTGCGGACTTGTTCCCTGAGAGGCGTGGGGTTCTTCAAGGCTGCTGTGATGTCCTGCAGGATGTTGGGAAGGTCGCCCAGCTTGGCGAGAGAAGCCTGTAGGGCAGGTGGAGAAGATGGAGGAAAACATTTTTTTTACTCCCGATTTTGCAAAAGATTCATGTTACATGTATATACATACCTTGCTACATAACAAAAGTTATCAAGATTTTGTTCCACCAAATACCTTAAACTTATACTTAACTTTTCCCTGCCATCTAAATATAGCTTTAGTGTAAACCCTATTGGTTTAGTTTGAGTCATTCTATTGGCTTGTACCTACCATCAAGGCTATGTACAATCTACTGTTAAGTTAGATCTGGAAAAATTTATCAAAGAAAAGAAGATTTTTGCTGACCTCATCGACGCTTGTCAGGCATTCCGTGATGAGTGAGTGCAGCACAGACAGCTCCCTGCCGAGGTCAATGAACCCGCTGAACCTTGACTGATGACCTTCCACCCCTGGGCTGGAGATCTGCTTGAGGAAGTTCCTCATGTTCAACATCTCACACTCAACAAACTCATTCATGAAGCTCATGTACTCCTCCTTGTTCCCAAACCTGGGAGGGGAGAAAAGAGATTGCATTGAACATTAGCTTGGCAGATACTGTAAATCACTTTGTACTCACAATAGCAAAAGTTCGCAGTCTGAGAAAAACAGACATGTTTGAGTAACTACATGTATATGTTTGTGGTGGCGGCAGGTGCAGAAGAAAGACCGCAAAAAATGCGAATATGCAGTACATGTACTAATAAGTGCCATAGTCTAGAAGTTACTGATGGCAATGCATTGAGTTCGTATAACATAAAGTAAGTTTAAATTAGAGGTTAGCTGTAAGGTACTTACTTGGTAAAGTTGGCCAGACTCTGAATGGTCTTTGCAATCAGGGTAAGACATCTACTGGTCTTCTCTGAGGGGTATTCTGTGTAGTCAAGAAAAGCCAAAAGGTCATGTTATCTAAAATGTCAAGGACAAAGTTTTAAATCACACATAAAATCACACACATTGCTGATTTTTAACGCGAGAAACATTTTCAAACTTTTAAGGCTTTCTTTGTTGAGAAAAAATTAAGATGCATTTTCCCTCCTTTGTTAATTCATTACAAACACCCGAGCCCCACTTCCCTTTTCTATTTGGTTTCAATTTGATAGATGTTGATAACTTTCCTGACCTTGTGTAAGGAAGAAGAGACTTGGTGACAGGATGGCTGGACACAGGAACCTCAGGAAGATACAACCACTGGAATGGAAAACAAAATAAGTCAATACAAATGGTATGTTTGACATGGTTGGATACAAACACAACATAACAAAGCAATGGAAAGTAGAAATAGAACATACTAGTTTTACAATACGCATTATCATTTCTATCACTTTTGATCTCCAAACAATTCTTACCTTATGAGAGTGTTGGCAAAGTCTTCACCCCTCTCCGCTGTTCTGTTCCTTAAGTTGCTGAAGATTTCCTTCAAATCACTGCCAAAACAAAACATTGCAGAAGTGAGAAACCAGTTCTGGTTTTCTCCTCAACAAAAGAACAAAAAAATACCATTGTACTATCATTTGGCTAGTGTACATGTCAAATTGGTTAACAGCATGCTCTTTTTTCTTTTATGTATTATTCTTGAATTATGTGTGTTTGAGTTATCATGTCTATGTTATAGATTCTCTACATGTATGTGCAACACTTTGCACAGTATTGAGTACATGTAATTATTATTTATATACCATAGAGAGGACACAAGAAGGCTCTTAGTACATAACTGGACCTATCAATACAGATAGAAGAAAATCTGCCGTACCTTGGGAAGATGATGTATGAGTTGATGACCTTGCACCAGGCGAGCTCACAGTGTCTCTTGAGCGCCTGCTGGTGCTGACTCAGCACGTTGGACGCCACCTTGCTGGGCTCCACCTCGCAATCCTCGTCTGCCTCGTACAGCGCACGGATGAACTCCCCTAGCGTCTCCTGCAGGTACTGCAGGATGGAAACACTTTTGTTATGGTGCGACATGGCTACAAAGTGTAAAGATCGCACCAGATTGTGAACACACGAAAAATTTCTGACAAAAATGGACCTAGATCTGATAAAGCCTGGGCCAAACAAACAACTATTGTTTGTAGGATAAGTTGGAAAGGCTATAATATGAGTCTTTGTGTCTTACCTTTCCTCCAACTAGCTTGAGATATGCTTCCATGGCTTTGGTGGCGAGGGTGTTTCCTCGGAATATCAAGCTCTGATCTGTGAAGAAGCATCAAAACATATTACATGCATTGCTTCAATTCAAACAAGCCCAAACCCATCTTCTGGAATGCATCTTTAGTGATATCAAAAAGAATCATGTTAAAAGCCTATGGGTATAATGAAACCTTTAGCTCTACTGATACAGTACTGGATTCCTCACCTGCCAGGTTGCTGACCTCTGACATGATGATGTCAGTGAGAAACTCCCGCGCCCTGCCTGTACTCTGCAGGATGTGAACCATGGTGGAGGCAATCTCTTCCTGTAGGTCAGAGGTTGATATTAAGAAAGGCTTCCTTTTTCTACACTTAATTTTGGACCAAACATTTTTCAAATCTCTACCCTTAATGTGGTTATATATACATAGTGAAGATTGTGCATTGCATTACTCTTTGGATACAGACAACCGCTCACTTATCTTACATGTAGATAATGACACTGTTTTCCATACCTTGTTCTTGACTCCAACCACAGGTTCCAGCACCTTGCACAGCGTTGAGTAGTTATCATTTATATACTGCAGGAAGGACAAAAGAGGGATCATTTAAATCATGCTAATATATGACTGGACTCTCTCAGAATATGCACTTGATAAAAATGTCTTGCACAGGTGAATGAGAACCACTTTGGGCCAACTAGCAGCAAAACTGAGCTCCATTCGAAACAGTTGTACTGATATTGAAGCCAAGGCTGTAATGAACATGTATGCTAGTTCAAGTTTTCTCACCTGGATGAAGTCCCTGTACAGCTCCACAGGAAGGATGGGGGTGCTCTGGAACCGAGCCTTGATGCGGATGGAGGGGGTGTCAGTCTTGGACGACTTGTTGTTGTTTGGAACTACCAATGGATACCTGGCAACAAAACACATGATAAAAGGTTAAGCACAGGCAACAAATGACAGTGCAACAATGCATACCAAGTAAATCAATGAAATTTGTTACTGAGAACTCACCATTTCTCAACAAACTGTCTCGCATCAACCGTGTTTACAGCAATATTTACAGTCCCTGCAGGGAAGGAAAAGAAAAAGGTGTTAGGCCAATTCAACAAGCATCAATGAATGACAAAGTCCCCATCTATTCTCTATTATATCCTGAATCTTGTCTTCCCTTCATTTACCTGCTCTTCTGCCAAAATCTTCAACAAACTGTTGATCAAAGCATCTACCACATGTCTCATTCTTTCTCGGATTCTATTCTCCTTTCCATTTTCTACATTTCTGTCCTATTTTTTTCCATCCCTATTCCTCTACTACATATCTGCTTCCCAAACACCCACCTATAAGATTTGTCTTCTCCTTTTTCTTCTTCTTGTCTGCATCCTTGTAAAGGTTGACAGTGATATTCTGAACCGCCGGCAGTTCACTGAAGTGGAAGTGTTCTCCCCAGAACAGCACGTCCGACTTCTGCTTGGACGACGTTCTGGCATAGAGAATCTCGTCTAGGAGAAGCTCACAGAAATATCTGTGGTGCAAAAATAATAAAAACATTTCTATAAGACACAGCCCAGACTCAATATACACATATGTTAGACATACATAAACACGATCATTGAGCATTAATGCTGCAAAAAGTAGAGATATGGAAAACATTTTTATAAGACACCCAGCCCAGAATCAACACACTGATAAATGTTAGACACACATAAACATGATCATTTACATGATATACTGCAGCAAAAAGAGAGATGTGCTCACTCACCTTTTCTTGACAGACAAGCCCTTGGCCTCTATGATCCACAGCTTGAGAGTATTGTCTGTTCTTCTGCACTTTTCTCTGGTGGGCTGCACTGTTTTTCTTATGCTGAAAAAGTAATTCAAGACTGTTACAAAATATCCTTTTCCTTCATTTCTTTCATCATAAATAGGCATAACTTTAAGTCTAATTCTGAACTATATACAAGAAAACAATCACTATAGCAACGATAGAATTTGTAAACTATCAGACATTTCAAGTAGCAATCTTTTTGTCAGTGTATCTCATTACCTGGGTGTCAAACCTTTATCAACTCAATTTCCAGCCAATTTTCCACCTCTTAAGTCTACAGTTACAAGTACATAATCCGGGGAAACCTACTTTTCTATCCATCTGTCCTTCTCTGCAGCAGTCTTGCAGGCGAAACAGCGGCTGCCGCTGGCGGAGGTGACCTGGAAGCAGTGGTCCTGTCCCAGGATGCTGCTGTGGATGGGGTTGATCTGGACGTCCTCGCCCGCGAGGTCCAGCGACTCCACCGCGTGAGACGGGCTGGACAGGAGGGACTCGTGCGACCGCGAAGTCTTCAGCCGAGATACGATAAACGCACTGGAACAGAAGAGAGACATGCAAGAATTAGAATTAGAAAAGACACATGAACATGGACTAGTAATGTACAACTTACTTAACTACTTATTACGTATTAATTTTATTGCTTTGTATTTGTTTATGTATAATCCGTGGTATTCATAGGCAGGAATCAGAACAAAATTGCTACTACATGGATTTCTTCCTGAAATTTCAGGACATTCCGTACCCTAACTAAACATGTGTCACATCAAATTTATCTCATCAGATCAATATCTATGCAGGTAGAATGAACACTGGTAAATGTAGTATTTTTTGTTCGATCATTGTTTCATCATGACATTTACTATGAAAAAAAGACCAGGTTTATGGCACACGGCTATGACACTAGTAACTCCAAACCTTAGTGAGGTAGCTACATGTGCCGCCCGTGTGTGCTTTGGGGAAGCCACAACCGCACTGGCATGGGAGGGGGGGTGGAGGTGAGAGAAGTCACAACACAGGGGTAAAGAAGGAACAGAAAGAGAAGGAAAGAGTCAGAAGACAAGGTTGAGAAGAAGAAAGGAAAGAAAAAAAATCAGAATAAAATACAGAGCCATATTTGAACATGAAGACAGGATGGAAAAAGTGACAGTACTGAAAATACTATCAATATTACAAGTGAGGATGTATGCAGATTACAACTGACAGGCAATGTAGCTGCTGACACTTACTCCCTGTCCTGTGTGCGTGGTGCTTTTACACTGGCTTTTCTGTCCAACTTGGTCACACTTTTCGTCCGTTTGATGCCCGACTTCAGTCTTTTTGGTAACAGGGCCTGGAATGAAAACATGATTCTTTAGGTTGTATATTGCATACTCAAACCTTTTCTGAATGTCCTTTGTTCTCCTTATGATATATCAAAGTTTCCTGTCCTTTGTTTGCACTGTTTGAAAACACTGTTCTAACACCAGGTACTGTACAAAACCACTTCCAATGTTTTGTGTACATTTCCCCCATCAGTGGTTGAAGACTGTCAACAACCCTTAACTGATGAGAGGCCTGGGGCAAAATATGCGGGGAACGTGGTCAGAATCCTGAAGCATCCCTGTCTATGTAAAAATAGACGCCAGATCATGTTCACCAGGAGACAACATGGCCTGTCATTAGGCTTGGATTACTGACAAACAGTACTGATGGATTGATTGTCTCTGATGAGGAAGTTCATTTTGCATTGGCACTTGTTTGGATATTCCTTTGAAGTTTCTCATACATTCAATCATCCACACAAATTTGATATTGTGGATAACATTCTCTAGAATTTCAGCAGCATATCTCTTGTCCATTTTTATCTTGTTTGCATTGTGTAGCTTGTTACCAAAGTTGAAAAAGAAGAATTTTGAATAAGCAAAATTTCTTGTTTCGTATTAGGAAACTGGACAATATACTCTCAGATAATCATATATCATTCATAGAATCAAGCTTGCATTACATGTACTTTAGATTAATTCCTATCAAGCATGGAGTACTTCAAACAACCAGAATGAAATTCGAGCTGTATCTGAATACTGACAAGTTGAAGGTTGTCCAGACTTACCGCAAACTTGGAAGGTGTGCTGGAACCTTCCATGATGGGGCCTGTGGGGGTGGGCGGGGCACTGCTGCGCCGTACAGGACTCTCATGTAGATCTGTGCAAACACACAAGGAGGAACAAGGTTATTGTTTGGCAATATACACTATACCATTCTGCTAATATAGGAATGGGAAATAACTTTAGTTGCTGTTATGCCAAAAGTGTTTCTGCAAAGAAAACGATTAGAAAATGAATGCCATTTTCAAGTGAAGATTTTAGCTCATACAGGGAAATATATATATATATCATATACATGACATACACGTAGATGAGATAATATCAGAATTTAAATGTTACCAATACATATGAGCTGACAATGCTGAAGGCTCCTGAAACACTGTTGCATGTATAGCCTTTTCATAAAGCAAAAATATTCATTATGAACCGGATTGTCAAGGCCAAAACTGTCACAAAGATACCTCACTGTGATTCTAACATGGCTGGAATTATGAGACACTCCATGCTGGGTTAGCAGTGAAACATATCTGTCACAATTTCCACTAATATAAGTACCACTTACTCAGCTTATTCCATAAAGACCCCAATCCCTTGATAGAGGCTACAGAGACAGCGCTGGGGATCAGACACAGCATTCTGGTATGAGCTAACGTCTCCTTTGGAAAACTTTCTCATCAAACGCAATATCGTAGAACTACAAAAGTAGAACATAATTCCAGGGCAGTAAAGCCTGACTAATGCATTAATGGCCTTCAATCAGGGCCAGACACAACCTGATAGGTCTCATCCTCTGATCCATTTTCCCTTGGTCATTTGGTATAAAAATAGAGATTATGCTGTCATAAAATGGAAGATCCTATCATACTGACTGCTACAGGGTATGAGTGAGATGTGAAATGAAATAAAATATTGAGTACCCTGGAGCCTATAATATACATTTTGAACCACAGAGAGTAGTCTTTTATTTCGTTTATGCTAGAGTATATGCAAAGTATAAGAGAGTTCTATCCCAGAGTTATCATTCATGTTGAACTATACATAATGAAGCCGAGGCCTTTTATTTCCTTTTCTAGGAACAAAGGTCATGGAGGATGACAGACCTACATGTATATTGTGTTACCAGTATGTTGACTGGGCTACCAAGCAGAAGGTGGCCCTAGTGTCTACAATATACCTTAGACACCCAAAGTAACCTTGAACAAGCCTTCTGCAAAGTTTCTGCTTCAACTGATCACTGGGGAAAAGCCCTTTGAGATGTAGGTCCACCTATAGCACATTTGTACTCCAACCAGTTGAGTGCTTGCCATACAAACTTCCAGACCAGTTGGCAGTTCTCATGCCCTAAAGTCCCACAAGGACACACCCCATGTCAGACACAGGCTATTAAAGAAAATGTACAACCATCCACAGAACAGCCATGCCTGTGTCTGGGTCAGCAAGGTCAATACCAAGGTCAGACAAGTTGGAAGGCCAAGTCCAGTGGATGAGAAAAGCATGTGCAGGGATCACAAGGACACAGTATTGTCCACTGTTTTCTTCTTGCAAATTTCAGTCCACAAGGACTGAAAATGTTCAGGAAAAGCTCAGTTGAGATTACAAACCCCTTAACACTCAATTCCCCTGCGGTTTGCGGGAAGCAATGCCCCCCCCCCAACAGAGTACATGAACACCAATATTACCAGTACATCACTTATTCTGGATGCAAGAGGGAGGCTGTGGTATAATTTCCTTGGGGTCATGTTAGCCTTGGATGCGAGCTGAGGAATTGACCTGTGTACACCCTGGAAACAGTCAGAATCTGATTCCTTCCATCTTTCCCCTACTGTGTGTTAGCCCCTACAGCAAATTTTGTATTGATTTTTACAACAGGAAGAAAGCTACATTATACGTTCTGTTCACTTTTAAAGAAAACTCAATATACAATGCAGCACTCATCCTCTTTCAAGTTCTTTCCAACCTCAACATCACACATGTTACTACAGCCGTAGCTATCAAAAATGAATTATGAGGACCGTTCAATGTCATATTGATTCCAGCCTGAGACCTTTATCAACAGAAAGCTTAGTTGGCTCAAACGTTAGCTAAAATCGATATCAGTACGCTCTGTGCAACATCTGTCACAAGATATTGTACTTGACAACAATTAATAACTGGGAGAGTCTAGGGAACAAATGGTACAGATGACAAAAGTAACAAAAAGAGCGCTACAAGCTGTTACGTTCTCATATTAGGCCAGTAAAATTCTGCACTTTTGCTGTAGTTTCTCACATTAGGACAAATTCCTCCCTTTGGTTGTTTCAGTCTAGGGTGATTTCAGCACTTAAGACTGAAAAAAATTAAAAATTCATGACTCTAAATTGCTTGGTGGCATGTAGGTAAAACATTAAACAGCTACATTGTACGTACAGTTGCCTAATCAGGCTAATGCTAAGTCTTATCTGACAAAAAAGTGTACCATTTCATACCAAGTAATGTAGAATTTGAAAGTACTGTACACAGAAGTTTATGGCACTAAACCTACAGTGTTCATACATGTAGTTTGTAAATCCCAGTTATCCTTCATTTTTAGCAAAAGCAGGAACTACGATGTCACACAACTATTTATGTCCCTGAAACATTTCCTTCTAATCACGACTTGTTTTTTGGCTGTGCCTCAAATGACTTCCTTATGAGGAAGTCCTCTCAGAAGCCTGTGACTTTGACACAGGGCAAACAGTTCCTCACTACTTCCGCTCATTAGCACTTGCACAGTAGTCAACGTGATCAGATTACCTTGGCAAACACACACATCTCTCCTGTAATATCTCTCCAATACATAGATGAACCATTAGAAGTTGAAGGCATCCTACATACAAGAGATATCTTACATGCATAGATCAAATTTAACAACTTGAAGATAAAGAATGCTTGCAGCATACATGTACAATGTCATATACCAGGGTTGAATTATGAGTCATGCAGATATCAAACACCTGTCCAGTAACTTTCCAGGAGTCATATGATCAAAAGTATAGCTTTGGTTATGGTTTCATTCAAAAGGTCATCTTCACACATCTTAAAAAAGATTCCCACGAAGGAAGGCATCATGGCCCAACCCAAAACCAGTTTAACGGCCCACATGGACCTGACCACAGCAATGTGTAACCTTTTGTATGTGATTATACGGGTATGCAGGTTGAATCAACGATGAAATTGTTAAGCTCTGAAAAAGACATGCCGGTAACTGAAAAAAATTAAACTTCAGCACAAGGAACAGACTGATCTACATACATATTAATGCTACATGAAAGGTACTAAAATCATGTTTTATGGCTATCTCATTTGAATAACCGTAACTACTTGAATCAAACTTCTAACTGAATTGGATTACGTCAGCTATAAACACACAGAGAAATAAGTGCCGGATAAGAAATGTAAGCGACCACGATTTGCCCCAAAGAACAGGAATAATCAACAAAATGCTAGGAACAGAGCGAACAGTTTCTGCCCTTACCTTCTCCAATAAAAGGTATAACTGCCAGGTCACCAACATTCGGGTTGTGAATCACAACCGAACCTCTCCTTACATCTTTCTTCGGTACTGTTAATTGTCCGTCCATTTTTGGTTCCATTTTTAGTCCTCCTTGTAGTCAACAAGTTTGTTTCCAAGAACTTCAAGCAGTAGGAGGAAGCATTGAAAGAACGTCTGCTGGTGTGAGTCTGTGTTCCTTCAGCAAGACACCGCAACCAGTCGGACAGGCGTAAACACAAGGAGTGGCCAGTCAGGTCACCGGGAGGGAACTTTGCACAGTAACTCAGCCCCCGTCACGTGGAAGTTTTGAGTCAGGGAGGGGAGTGTGCGTAAACTAAAGCGGATATTGGCACCAATTCAAGCCGGAGCTCGGTATTAAATCCGGATGGGAAGTCCTGGACAAGACTAGATGGGCTTGGTTCAGGAGAGCCTTCTGAGTGCAGGAACAAGACTGGAGACTTGCCAACTCTTCCAGACTAGTTCTTCCACTTCTACAAACAGAACCTACCTTTGGTATCTTCCCCAAGGGGGTTCTGTGTTGTGTGCTAACTTTTTATACGCTGTCTACTTCTCCTTAGCTCTTTGTTTCAAAATTTTACTGAAGACTTGTGGTGCTAAATCAACTCTGCATTTCAAAGTATGTTTCTTGTATCTACCAAACAAGGAAAAAAGTCTGTACTTATTGTACAATTTGAAGCTTGTTTAAAAATTTGGCCCACGAAACACTGAAAATGGTAGCTTCCAGACAGAACAACAAAGGCCCCACATGACCAGAGGTGGTGCAGGGGGCTTGCCAGGGTGTTTCTGCCTTATCTGAACCTTGACAGTTTACTGTGGGCACACTGCCGCTTACTTAGGGCCAACAGTTGTTGTTTGTTTACATCCACATGCAAAATACAACAGAGACAGGATTAGAACACTGCTATTTTCATTCAATGAGCTTATTTTTGATAACTTTTGATCAAACAGCATTGGAAAGCTAGGCTGAAACAGGTACAAACATATTCTGGTTATCAAACTTTCAAAGTGATAATTTTTGAGGTAATTCACAGAAATAAGTCAGAGAGAAATGTCCAAACTGGCCACTACCTGTATATACAGCTGCCGCCAGGGTTGTTTTCGTTCCTTAAACTGACCAAGATAATCTACCACCAGTGTTTGGGGACTGTCTAACATTCTAAACACCAGAAGTATGTCACCGACTGTAAACACAATAGGTCTATGGTAGAGCTTAAGTTAAAACATTGTGGGATGTGGGCTAAAGGTCGTTCAACTTTTCTACATCTTACTCAGTGTCAACATTTTTACAGTGGAACCAAGAAGAAAGAAACAAACCTTTTGAGCACAAAGTCTCTTTCGTTTGTTGCTTTTTGAACACCTGCCTACTCCAGTGTGCAAGAAGTATATGTATATAAGACAGTAAAGTACATATACTATGTTTAAGATATACATTGAGAGACTTCAAGTTGATAATGTTAAGAATGGGTGAAAGGTTAAGGGCTACAGTAGCAAAAATAAAGTTGGGGAGGGCACTAGGCCAAGCAAAACTTTGACTTAGAAGCATTAGACTTCCCTTCTGATATAAAGCAAAGCCAAAACAAAATTATTCTATCAAATGTACATATCAGTGTATTTGATATATGCAGATAGGAACAAATATATACAATGATACATACTTTTGTTAAAGTATAAATATGCTTGTGTAATTTATGATCTAGAAAGGCTTAAGTGTCATTATCAAGTTCATTACATTGCCTCTAAAACAAGAACAACCTCAAAGTGTTTAACATATAAACTGAGGAAACCTCAGACCTGAAAACTGTCTTGAACTGCAATCCATAGTATATTTACCATTACATATACAATGTCATGATGATACTAGATATTCAACAATCATATTGTATAAATGTATTAAAACCACTCACTTCAAATGATCATAAAACATTTCTTTGAAATAGATCTCATATGATGATGAATTCATATGAAAGCAATACATCACCACAGTACAAGCAGACTAGCTATTACAGAAATCCATTTCTTCAGATAACTGCTAAACCAAGGTGTATTCCATCAAAACAATAATTGCTAAACTCTGAATCACAACAAGCCAATATGCACAAAAAACCCTGTCTGTAAAAAAAGAGATACTACAACAGAAAGGTACACTGTAACCTACATCAAAAGAAAGCCTACAAAAAGACACACTAGCAACTTACCCTAGATCGATGACTGTCTGTATTGAAGGCAACAGAGCTATCATAATAAATAATTCAAGCCTTCATTTCAATTACTCTCCTACTCCGCCGCGCGTGCAAGGCTTACGGTGTTCTACAGAAGATTAGACCTACTTACCGTTGGACTCAGACACAGTAATACCGGATGAATGTCTTCTGGGACATAAGAACATTGCTGACGTGGGTACGCTCAATTTACGCTCCTAAATACTGCCAATACTGGGAAATACAGCTTCAGATGCAAACCCCGTGCCCTAGGCTAAGGTTAACATCTAAAAGATGCGTATCTCAAACAATCTTTCGAAGAAAGGGGATGGCTAGTGTTTGAATGGGTTGCCATGGCAACAGAGGAAATACTGTTGAGTCATTGGCCGAACTTGACTGGTTCTGAATGATTAATGAGGTACTGACATATGGTAGTACACATGACTGGCAACATCTATGCCATTACTGTTTGCATTTCTCTCGAAATTGGGCACGGCTCACTTCAACATCATAAAGAGTATGGATAGGAAACATACAGGTACAATGTATTTTGAACAGATACAGTCTAAATTGTAATTTCCACCTATAGATACCTATAGAGGACCTATATACTGTATATAGAGAGAGAAAATGGTGGATAATGGTGCATGCTGTCTGGTCCTCAGCTTGTTTTTCCTATCACAGACATCATCTTCTTTGAAGAAACAATTACATTGGCATAATTTACCAAGGGTGGGACCAAGCAATCCTTTATGATATTACCATGCTGCCACCATATTATTAAATTCTCAGAATATGAAATACCAGAATATGAAATACCAGGAAAAATTCCTTACAGTCTGAGTAGTGTCCTAGATATTTTTCTATTTCTAACCTAGCCTCTGGTTCTGTATGCTTTGATATTGTTTAAATACCACACTTTGAAATATGCCTATGATGTACATGTGAATACAAGCCTATGGTGATTTTCCAACCACACACTTACAATTGTATAACACATGAAACATGAAGAAGTCTATTGATGTGGGAGTTCAAAAAGCAACATTTGAATGCTGCATTTAAAAGTAATTCCAAGGTACTGAAAGGTCAAAACACACATGTCGTAAAATTTGTGAGACTCTAAAAATGAACAGTCTTTGATAGGCCAACAACAGTACAAGAACACACAGCCTCTGAAGTACCAACAACATGAAAGCAATCTATACTTCAGTTAATATATAAAACAGTCAGCAAACTTACCGGCAACAAGGATGTACAGCCACGATGCCTTTGGCTATGAAATTACTTCCAACCATAAATTGGGTGTGGCAAGGTGTGGTCCAGTATGTCGTGATATACATAATAGATATGCAACTACTCATCCAATTATAGAACTTCACTCATAAAAATTATGAAGTTACTGAAGCTGAAAGTCAAGGAGTAAAACATGTTTCACCATGCCACAGTAGACCATAATTAAAGCTCTTTCTCCCAAATACTCAACTCTACCAGCTAACTTCAGGCAAAAAAAGGGGCAATTACAACTTCAAACTCTGTACTCACACTTGTGTGGACTTCCCTTCCACATGCTGAAAAAATGTGTACGCTTCATTTCTGCTAAGGAGGTGGGAACCTCCTCAATTTCTGCCGGTAAAAAAAATCACCTCCTGATCATTTTACAGATTTCCCTGCTTGCCCCCTCGCCCATCTTCTAACAGAGAAGGTGATGAGAGGATGGGATATGGAACCAGCACGGGTTTTAATCAGTGTGGATCCAATCATCCCAAAGTCATCACAACTGCTCATTTACTTGGAAGCCATCCATCAACTGCCATTCATCCAAAAAAACTGTCATCTGGATGGATCTACATTTTGTAATCCTACTTCATCACAGAGTTAGCCTGGGTTTCATCCATTTTGCAACGGGGCTCCTTGCACTTGCTACAAAAATGGATGGCTCCCAGGCTATCACAGAGCATGGAAGGAACAGAAAAAGTGTTGAACCCCTTTAACACAAACAAGAAAATTCATCTACTGTAAGGCCACACCAAGTAAATTTTATGGATGACGTCCGCGCGCGCATTGATTTTGGCCTGTTCCTAGAAAAAAAACAAGAAATTCCGCTTCCTGTAACTATGACCAAAGAGTCACGACAGTGCCGCAAATCATCAGATTGACGTGAAACCCGTAACGCGAAAACAGGACAGGACGACAACTGTTATTCCACCTGATTTATTGCTGTTTTGATGATGAATAAAAGACTTCTTGCTTGTTAAACTGTGTCACCTCATTCAATTTGTGTCCTAACATTTGTCGTCTCTTAGTATATTTCTAATCTAGGCATCTTGTTTTTTAGGGCCCTTCTT